GCTTGTAATCACAGTGGCTCAGGAGGCTGAGGATTCTGTGTTCAAACCATCCTTAGCAATAGTGAGGCACTAAGCAACTCAGTGATATTCTGTCTCTAAATAAAATACAAAATAGGGTTGGGGTGTGGCTGAGTGTTCAAGTGTCCCTGTGTTCAATCCCTGGTACCCCAATCCCCCAAAATCCACTGCAGTCACTCAAAATCTGCAATTTACATTGGAGTTCATTTTTGTTTTACATTCATACACATATGTGTATGTGACATATATCCACTATTATAATATCAAAAAGAGTAGTTTCAACTAATTTTTTGTTCTTTTTTTCTACTATCTTGATATTTTTTCCTTTTCCAGAATGTCATATAGTTGAAGCATGTAGTAGATAGACTTTTAAGATTGGCTTTTTTCAGGTAGTAATATGCATTTAAAGTTCTATTATTTCTCTGGATTGATAGGTCACATCTTTTTAGTGCTAAATGATATTATGTTGTCTAGATGTAGTTTATTTTTCCATTCCCTTACTTAAGGACACTTTGATTGCTCCCAATTTTTGACAGTTATGCATAAAGCTGTTCTAAATATTCTTGTGCCAGTTTTCTTGTGGATGGACACAAGTGTTTAACACTTTGTGGTAGATAGCAAGGAACATGATTGTTGGATCATTTTATAAAAATATTTTAGTTTTTAACAAACCACCAAACTGCATTCAAAAGTGGCTGTAAAATTTGCATTCCACTTGGGAATGATCAGAGTTCTTGCTGCTCTAAATTCTCACTGGTATTTGGTGTTACAGGTGCTCAGGGTTCAGGTCATTCTAATAGATATAGTGTGACATCTTGTTTTAATTTGCATTTTCTCATATGATATGGAGCATCTTTTTACATGCTTACTTGTTATATCTTTTCATATATGTCTTCCTTGGCAAGGTGCTTGTATGTTTGGCCCATTTTAAAGTCAACTTCTTTTCTTATTGGTGAATTTTAAGAGTTTTTGTTATATTTGGGATAACAGCCATTAATTAGATGTCTTTTGCAAATATTTGGTTTTAGTCTGTGTCTTGTGTTCTTTCTTATCTCTTGGCAGTGTCCTTCACAGAGCACACATTGGTTTTAATGAAGCCCTACTAACCTATTTATTTTTTCATGGATTTTGCCTTTGATGTTATATCAAGTCCTTGTCATAATTAATCAAGATCATTGAAATATTCTCCTATAAAACTCTAGGAGTTCTTAATTTTTGTGTTGTATATTTAGGTCTGTGATTTATTTTCCCAGTAGTTGGGTGAAGGGTATGAGTTTTGTGTCTGCATTTATCTTTCTTCTGGCATGTGGATGTCTAGTTATTCTAGGATCATCTGTTGAAAAGATTATCTTTATTGCATTGCCTTTTT